ATAATGCATGAGATATTTCAATTTATTCATTCATATTTTATTCATTTTATATGAGGTTTGCAATTTTTGCAGCCTTGCTACAAAAATTTGGGTTGATATGAATGGAAGTCTCTACAAGTGCAATAGACCTCCTTGTATAAATAATAATATTAAAAATATAAATAAATAAATAGATAGACATTTAGATAGAATTGGTAACAAATAAATTACAAATTCAAATCATAAATAAATTAAACAATCATTTGATTATATTGATTCGATTTGATTTGACTCTAGTGCTTTAAAGATGGTTACAGTGGTCAAAAAATGGTTTAGAAATAATTTTCGCAGTAAATTTCACAAACAATTAGAAAGAAATTACCAGTAACACATTGAAATAATTGTAAAATTCTGAAGTGGAAAGACTGAAATTGTATTTTCTTGTAAAACACATTCGAAAAACTGGAAAATGCTACATAGAAATACAATAATACAAGCTACAAATTTATTAGAAAAAAAAATATTTTCATCAATAATATTCTTGATCATTCAAGAATATTCAAATAGAGAAAGTAGAGAACAGAAAGGAAAGGTTTAAGGAAATAAAACATATTGGTATCAGACTGGATGAAGGCTCAGTGTCTCTGGAGGACATGGACTAACCATTAGAGCAAGCTATAAAAAAATAAAATAAAATAATAATAATAGTAATACAAAATAAACTTCCTCACAATAAATCCACAATAAACAGTACAGAATCCTGCGCCGTGCTCAGAGAAGAAAAGCTCAGTCTGCTTCACACAGAATAGCCCATGCATGGTTATTAGCTCTGTATGTCTCACTGTTATGCAAAGACTATTAAGCTGACTTCAATCACAATATTCAATTATACACCCAATAGTTTTTTTCATTAGTCATTCAATGGATGGCTGGGCAGTGGGAGAGCGGAGCTTCTTTTGTGAGCGAAAGGGAGGAAAATCAATTGCTTTCATATGAAGGAACTGCAGGGAGATTGTAAAAATGACATCTCCAGTCATGTGTCTCTGTTGAGTAATGATGAAGCAATATCCCTGCTGGATAAAAATGGAAGACGGGGGAAAACGAAAAAGAAACACCTTTGGCTGTGCTCCATGACCAGCGGACAGATTAAAGCTCCTATAAAAGTTTCCCATCTTGCCATAAGCAAGGGACCTGGGGAAAAGTGTCACTTTAATATCACTCCTAGTATATAGTAGCAGTTGATCATTAGCGGTGTGTGTTAAGGGAAGGATCACTATCCCCAACACCTGAAGTATTCAGCTCTGACATTTAAATTCTGCTCCATCTTTGCTACAGACACAATTTCTAACCGATCATACTTCCAGTTTCCAACTGGTGGTCGAGTACATATCTATGGACCAGAGTATAACAGACACAACCTAGCACCCATTTAAATCACCCTGGCTACCAGATAGAACATGTAGCAACTTAATTAAATGCTGTGGCAACCACCCTCAACACCATACTGTTAAAATAAACTTGATTAATATTGTATTTATTAAGCCTTGACTTCCCTAATAACTACTAATAGTAATGTCTGCACAAAAATAGAAAAACCTAAATTAAAAATAAATATAAATAAAACTATATAAATAAAATAAATCAAGAAAGAAAGAAATTAATAAATTAATTTAAAAATTTTATAGAATACATATAATTAAATGAAATAGTATTTTAAAAGTTTGGGTTGGGGTAGACTATAGAAATGTCCTTACTTATAAGCTAATACAGAGAAGAACTCAACTAAATGTTGACATTTTCTAAAGAAAATATGAGAAATTATGTGATATGATGATGCTTTGCTGTTTGCCAGAACAGTGGTTGCTACAGTGTTTTGTTTAATGCTATAAGCTGCTTCGTGGTTGCTTGCAACTGAACAGTCTCTATGATATCCTGGTCTTTAGATATGGCTTGGATCTCTCCTTCAAATGCAAGTTTTATCATCCTCCAAGCGAAAACTGTGTATCTAATTGCTTAGAAAAGTAATAGCACATCTCTCCTTAACCGCATAATTTAAGGCTTCATTTGTTCAGCTTTTACTACCAATGCTAGGTTCTCACCATGACATAAAAAAGTGTGTGTGTTTAGGAGAACTTTGCCTCGACTGAATTGGCCACCAACAGCTCATTAATAAACTCATTGACATTCATATTTTATAGCAAACCCTGGATTTTCCTTACGCCAGGGGGAACAGGAAAGCAATTTCATTCAAGTCAATAAAACAAATTTTCAGAAAACATTTACAGGGCCAGGATAGCAGTTCCTTGAGAAAGAAAGAAAAAAAAGAAACTCAATTATCGGACAGCGTGGAAAGTGGCTTGTCACGAGCGCTCTCCACATATGCTCATTTCAACACACATAACAGGTCAAGCGTCACTTTCCACTGGCTCCTTCACAGAAAACAACACCACTTCTCAGCACCTTCCTGTCTGAGGATGTTCATTTTACACTTCACAGAAAAGCACTGGACCCTGGGGATTGTTACGCCACTCTCCATTCTCTCTGGCATAATTGCTTGAACAATTACAACTGACACGTACTGTGAAGTTCCTTCTTTTGATGTTTAAAGGACTTGTTCTGGGGCAGCCAAATAAAAAAAGACCTTGGAGCCTGACAGTAGGAGTTTGTACTTTATGGCCTTATTTCATTTGGCCTTTATTACTCTTGTACTTAAAGCAAAATGTTGATGTACAATTGGATTTTTGTACTGGAGACTTTGTAAGCTTTAAAACTTGTCCTTTTCACAGTCTTTATCTGAGCATCATGGTTAGTGAACCATGAGTACTTAGCCAAAAAGTGATATTCTGTAGTGCATAGTGCTGAAATGTACATTTTTTATATATATAATATAATTTTTAAAACATATAATATAATATAATACACAGTCACTGGCTACTTTATTAGGTACAACTGTTCAACTACTCGTTAACACAAATATTGAATCAGCCAATCACATGGCAGCAACTCAATGCATTTAGGCATAATGCTGAAGTTCAAACCAAGCTTCAGAATGGGAAAGAAATGTGATTTTATGAAAAGTGACTTTGAACATGGCATGGCTGTTGGTGCCAGACGGACTGGACTGAGTATTTCAGAAACTGCTGATCAACTGGGATTTTCACTCACAACTATCTCTGGAGATTACAGAGAATGGTCTGAAAAAAATAGAAAATACCCAGTGAGTGGCACTTCTGTGGGTGAAAATGCCTTGTTGATGCCAGAATTCAGAGGAGAATGGCCAGACTGGACCAACTCAAATAATCACTCATTTCAACCGAGTTGCAGATGAGCATCTCTGAATGCAGTTTTGAAAGCAAAAGGGGGTCCAACCCACTGCTAGCAAAGTATACCTATGTTTTAGAAATACATCATCTGAACAATATTAGAGGTGTGGCAACTGTAGTATAAGAGGAATAATTGACTCCGGGCCATTGAATTATTAGAAAATAATTCCTCTTCGCGTCATGGCCGCATCACCACCTCGGATGTGCATTATTTTCTAATAATTCAATGGACCGTCGTCAATTATTACTTACTTATTATACAAAATCTTTTTTTTTAACAAATGCCACTAATTACTACGTTAATTCATTATTATTATTATTATTATTATTGAGTAATATTTGACTTAATTCATAAATAATGTTTTTGTGCAGTTGTAACACGACATTTTACAACCTCAACAGAGCACATCATTAAAAGTTAAAAAGGACAAATTGTCTGATATTTTTAATAGACTTGTTGACCTAGACAGAGTCTTGAGGGTCTTGCAAACTATTCTTTTCCTTCTGCTGACACAACACAGTAATAAATCGAACAGCGAAACGTCTAATTTATTTATTGATTTATTTTACTTCAGGAATTGTTCCAATCTACCACATTACTAGACGATCAGCATTTTCAGAAAGGCAGCGGACACTGTAAAAAACACCTTGACAAACTCTCCTTACATTGACTTCAGTGGTTAGAATATGTGGTCTTGATAAACAAAGCGGTTTCTGTTTTCTTTTTGTGAACTTGTCTCAGCTTTCTTCTAGTGTCGACTAAAACACAAAACTAAGGACTGCCTGCCAAGATTTCTACAAAGATGCCAGTGAAAACTCAGAATGGAGAAAAGTCTAAGAAATTGCTATGGCAATAGCTGCTGATGTCTTTTCAATCAAAATATTTCATTTTAACACACAAGAAAAGAACTAAATATACATGAGATTCATGTTTCTACATTTCATGTGAAATAAACCTTTGTTTTTGTGCCCAGTATCAAGCAACACCTGCTTAAGATAGCAAAAGCAGGTTTGGAAGCATTAAAAATGATATAGTGGCATGTTGTTGTTTTTTCTCTTTCCCCTGTAGGCGCTGCTCTTTGTTCTTCTAATTACAGCCGAAACAGTGAAAAACGATAGCAATGGTGAGACGTACTGGAAGGTAGATTTCAGAAGCAACATGATTTAAACAAGGAGCTGGAAGCTGTGTACCCATCAGGAAAGATACTCAAAGTTGAATGCAAGAGTTTGAAATCAAACTCAAGATGAGTGTAAAATAGCAAATATGTATCTAATCATACCTAAGAATGAGATAACAGTTGATAACAGTCGTAAAACTTGAGCCTAAACAACCATAGTGCATGTAATGATGGAAGAAAGATCTGTTAAAATGAAAATCAGAAGTGTGACTCTTAATGGCTGTTAAAAGTGATAGAAAATTATCATTCATTCCATGCCGTTTCAAACCTGTATGACTTTTCTTCTTCTGTGAAATATATTATGAAGAATATTGATAACCAAATCCTTTTGATTACCATTGACTTGCATTGTACGGACAAAAAAAGCGAACATTTTTAATTGCAAACATAGTCCTCTATCCATAACGTTGTCTCGTGTGAATCAGGAGAGAAAGGGATGGACTTTTTCACTGAAGGAAGCGTTATTATGGATTAGTTCTTATGGTAAAGCAATCTGAAAAGTGTGGATGAGAGGAAATACCTTTGAGGTCCAGGTTGCGGGCTCCATTGGAGTGCTGCGTGACCATGCGGGAGTCGATCTTGAGCATGTGCACGTTGCTGTCATCGCGGGACACCATCACGTTGTGCCACTGGTTGTCATTGAGCGGCTTGTCGGAGTTGCCCTTCATGAGCGACGGCCCATTGCCCAAGTCAAAAACATAATGGATGTACCTGCAATACATCAGTTCCACTGTCAATCACACAGCCCAGTGGAATCAGGCAACTCTCTTTAGGATGACAATGCTGCCTTTTTGCTTCCAAATCAATATAACAAGGCTTGAAATACTGGCACAGACAGACTTCCATCCTGTCAGACACTCACACAGAGCCGCAGTAAACAGCTTACAGTCTTCAGGAAAATGTCCCTTGAACGTCAATGCACTGTAGCTCCATATATTATATAGGAATTTTTTGTTGCTTTGAAATTGTTTGCGTATACTTCATTTCACATATCCTCTGTTTAATTTGAAGATTTTATCTGCACATTTGTCAGTGATAAATGTGCTTTGGCTGATAACTAATATGCCAATATTAGTCATGCACAAGATATCACTATCATATCAGTTATCAGCTAGTATTTGATATATACATATTCTTTTTACATATCTGTAGAAAAATTTCTGTAGAAAAATTTGACCATAGTGCATTTGTAAAAACTAATACATTTTGACACGTGCATCACATAACCAGTTCCATATGTATAGCGTTTTTAACGTAGTAAAATTGCTTGGTAGCTCACCTGGTACAACTTTGTATATGTGGTGTGCAGTGCTCGGTACCGTGTCCCGTGAAACACAAGTCATGATAGGCCCTGTCCCAAATCGCACCCTAAACCGTCGCAGTCTTCCTCTGAGTCCGCACTTTCGTGACGTAATGCCGTTTTGACTGTATGGGTAGAAGTCTGCTGCGGAGCTTGCCTCAGTGAGGGCTCGGCAGAAGTGCGCATCGAGGGCGCAAAGGGGGCGCTCGCGAGCACCCTTTTGAATGCTAAAATGACGACTGGGACACCCTACGGTCTCGTGGACTTAACGGACACGCGCACGCGGTGGCCATTGTAAGTCCACAAGACCGAAAGTGCACATGAAGTGTTCCATTTGGGACAGGGCCATAAAAAAACTCAAAGAATTGAAGCAAGCTAAAATAGCACCGTTGCTTCAGCAATGTATTTGTATCTCACTTTTGCTTTTGTTAACATTATGTTTTGTTTACAGTAGGGTTTAGTATATGTGGTAAGATTACCTATTAGAAACTGCCATGATGCGTACAAACACTAATATAATAAAAATTTGCCAGATTCACATTCATCTGTTTATAACTAAGTGCCATTGGACATTTCACTTTGAAAGTGTCGTGCAACGTACAAATAGTACAGCAATACCATTTAGCAGAAATGTCACCATAGGCAAGTTTTTCCAATGAGCCTAGGTTGGATAATTTCCAAATCTTTCAAGAAAGACTTACCGTCAGCTTCGGGTTGTTTAGCAGTGAAATATGCCTTATGGGAAATCATCTTTCCTGATAGAATGGGGATTTTCAGCATTAGAGCTCAAAAGTAACTACAGCAGTAGTTCCCTCAAAAGATATTGAATACATGTCTTATACCTTTTTTTCCGCTTTTCAAATACTTTTTTGCCATGTTATAATTCTGTGATTCATCTCCGAGCTGTTTGTGTGGCTTATATTGTAACTCTTTAGTGAAAAAAGTTCTGAAATGCCTAAATGTGAAAAATACTGCCAGAACTAAGACACTCTTGCACTCTATTCAAACAACAAAAAAAGCAGTGTTCGATACCGACGAGGCCATGGAGATATACAGTGCTCTGCTCATATTTATTCAAACTACTGTATAAACATTAGAATTTGCAAATGCTGGTAGTTGCTCACAGTTCATACATCAAGATACTGCAGAGAAAGAAAGAGAGAGAGAAAGAAAGTGTGCTCATTAGCGCTCTCTCATTTCAAATGCTTGTGCAGACTCCGGTGAGAAGCAAGGCCACCTGCTGTCTAATTGCTTACTGAATGACTGACTTTCTGGACCACTACATCTGAGGAAGTTAAACATCTGTGGCACTTTCCCCTTTTTCACTATTCGTTTTTGCCCAATGGAATAAAATTCAAACAGCAAATCAGGTTGTTGTACCTGCTATGATTGGCATAAGCAGTGTGATTGAACTGAAAAATCTTTTACTAGGCTGGTGGGAAAAAAATAAATAAATCTGATCCAAGACTGCGGATCTCCCACGTGGCGGCTTTGGCATGTGGCTTGGGAACAGAGTGGGCTGCCAATAAATAGAATACCGTTAATCAAATAACACTTACATTACATGTGATTAAAAGCTGCTCTTTTTTCATCAATGTCACCAGTGCTTACTTTATCTTTTCGAAATGGATTTGCACTTTTCTTGTGAGCCGATTACAGTATCGGAGGTTTAGAATAGCAATCCATGCAATCATTCCTCTGAAATTGCTCTTGATTGACGAGCAGACACAGTCGCCTCAGAGTCATCGGGCATAAGCTTGAATGCCAATGAATAACTCATGGTGAGCTCCTTCCTAGCAGATCCCGATCAGCATTTACGCATAACCAAAAGCAACTCATGCAGAATTTGTTTAAATTTAAATATGGCCCCCATCCTGTGATGATTCATCAAGCGATTCTCCTCCTCCTTGTACCTTTAACTAAATGCCAAGGAGACAAATGTGCGAATCTTATAATGCGACTTGACTCACCCTCCCACGGCTATGATTCACATCCAAATAATGTCTCTTAACTAATCGCAAACTTAAACCCGTTGTTTAGCGTGGCGGCTTAACTTCATCTGGATGTCTCTCATATTCTTAAGTGTGTAACTAGCTGCTTACATGTGATCCCTCGTATATCTGCTGTATCTTCTGGGAGTTTCTGCAATGATATCAGCATCTCTCTCTCTCCTACAGAAACAACTGTGCGTTAGTTTTGTCAGAAAAGGTCTTTGAGCTCTAACTCTCCCAGGACTGATGTTTGTGTGCTGAAGGATGAGATCACCAACAATCTGTGTAATGTACTGAAGATGAACTTTGAGCTGTCAGACTGGAATGTCTCAATATCTGGATTTATAATTTCACATGGGTGGGGGAGTATAAGAAAAGACTAGTTTTTAGTCTCAAGGGCTTTTTCTTCCTCTCAGTGGTTCCTACAGAATCCCACCCACCCCGATTCAAACAAATAACTGATCTAAAAGTTACAATGCGAATTTGGTAGCATACTGCAATGTTTTAAAGATTGAATTATTGGGCTAACTTTGATTATTTTTAATACAATTCAAATATTTATAAAAAAAAAAACTGCACAGGAACATCACGTTTCAGTAAAATGAGTCAGATTCAGTGAGTTCATTCAGTAAAGGATTCATCATATTGATTCTAGAGTTGTTTCGCTGTATACTGCCTACAAAGACAGCTGACTTCTAAGAAAGCATGCTAACTGAAACGAAACTTTTGAAGTGACTGATTTAGAACACTCCATGCTCCAAAATCACCTTAATTTCAACAGAGCTTGACTAACAACACAATACACAAAACTAAGCAGCACACACAAATACTGGTTTAACCCTTAAATGTATACCTCGGGTCTTTACCCGGGACATCATTCTCTACCCTCTCCCTCCTTCATTTTTTAAAGTTAGAAATCAACTTTCTTAGTATTCCTCAATCTATTAGTTATAAACAATATAACAAGAAAAAAACAGTAAAATATAAAAGAATGCCAGTTTTCTGATTAATTTTTTGCAAAAAGTGTATAGGGTTGCTAGATACCCGAGGTATGTAAATATGTAAGTATTTTTCCTGTGCAACTATATTTACATATCTGATGACTCAATATGTGCAATGCATATTTTTCCCTCAAGGTGGCACTGTTTGATACACAATGATGACCTGACGTTTCACCCATAATTAACGCAGGCATAAAACAAACCAATATTATCAGCAAAAATTGAAGTGGTTTGAATGGCTTTACTGCAGAGCAATTACTATACGCAATGAAATATAAATGTCACTGTCATTTGATGCTGGATGTGGTGAATAAGCTGCCAGTGATCAAAATATTGAATATGAAGTCATTGAAAATGATAGTTTTGAGAATATGGCTGAGATCGTGAATATGAGGCAGATGCTGAATGTACTGTGGAAGTGCGCTCTGACGATGACAGCGATGGTAAAATCATCTGCTCAAACTGAACCCTATTAAGTTTCAAAAGGTAACAAAATAAGCTTTATTTTATTCTTCTGTAATTGTTCTTAAAATATCAAGAGAGTTTGTTGCTATTGCAGCAGTTAGAGATCCATCCGTGCTGTATATATAGGTCCGGGTCGCTAAAGACACGAATATGTAATAATGATTGGTGAAACATTCATGCATTTAAGGGTTAAATACTTTTGTGTTTGCCTTTGGCCAAAACATTGAGTCTTAGTAGGCAGCATAAATAAGATGCCTACCTTTAAAGGCACCTTAAAAGGCAGGTCGCTAGACTTTGCAACAAAGTCTGTAAATTTTTTGTGAAATTCATTAAACGAACCAAATATGTTTATGAAACGGACTACACTAGTTATGCTGTATGTTTCTGAGTGCAGCCAACAAAGATTACACAATATGAGAAAGTACTGTCTTAGCATTATTTCACAATACACAGTCTTTTTCATCACATTCAAATTAGATGGCAAGCGAAAAATTTAGAGAATAATATAATTTTCTTTGCTGCAGCGCCATAGAATAGTTCAGGAAACTTTGCTTTCTGCTAAGGTGTCTTTCTCTCTGTCTCTCAGGCCTCAGGCTTTCCATCACATACAGCTAAGGCTTAACTTTATATTGCACTCTAATTTCATCTCTCTCTCTTTTCTCAATCAGGTAGTTCTCGACGTTATCATCATTTCATAATACCCTGCCTATTTCTGAAATTTCTAGTTCCTTATTTGTGCAGTCATGTTAAGAAATCTTCTATTCTCATCTCTTCTTTATAGTTCCCATCTCAACTTCACACTTTAATTAAAGGGCTTTTATTAATAGGATTTTAATGCTTAATGCTGTTTTTTTTTAGTAATATGAGTATGGCCAAAAGTGACGCACTCCAAAAAGTAATTTAATAATGAACAAATTTTATTCAATGAGCTTTTACTCTGATTGGTTTGAAGCAGCAGAGGGCGGAGTCAAATGCTGAATCATACAGTTCAGCCATTTAAAGACCACATGAAATCAACTGATCACAGTTTTCTTTTCTAAGCACATTTCTTATCGGACATTTGGGCAGAACATTTCTTTTTTATTAAAGGAAGATGGGCTTTTTCACTCAAGAACATTTGATTGGACAAAAATCTGTGTATTGCAAGATGACTATTTGAATATGAGTATTTTTTGAATATTGTTGGTACGTTTTCACAGAAGAGAAATACTGTAAATCTACTGTACTGTAAAGTGTTATAATTGTTAAACAAACTATTAAAAACCATTTTGTTAACTGAAAGCTGAAATAAAATTAAATATAAATGTTAGATGAAAATGTAAGCTTAAATTAAAAAAAAAAAATTGCCTTTGCAACTAACTGAAATTTAAAAAAAGTTTAAGATGAAGTACTAATATTACTAAAACAAAGCTGAAAAGTAAAAATATATATATATAGCTAACAAAAATATTAAAACATACTAAAATCAAAATGAAATCTGAAAAAAAAAAGTTTATTATTATATATCTGTTTCCAATTTTGAAATGTGTATATCTGCTTCATTTTTTTTGTAAATGAACTAAAAGCAACAACATTTACATTTTAATTTTAATTTCATGGGGCTGTATGGCAAGTCATTCAAACTTTGGTGTTGGAATGTAATTTTTTCTTCTTCACTCACTCACCCCTTCACAAGCTCGATCACGATAAAGTCACTGCCGTCTCCAGAGTTAAACAGCATCAGACCGTCGGGACTGGTGGTCTTGAACTGGAAGAAGAGGTGCATGGAGGCGTAAGCCTGCAGGGTGGACAGCGCCACATAGCTGGCTCGATTCCGGAAGCTGACGGGATCTGCCACGATGCGGCGCATGCCGAAGCGGGCATTGAGCTCACAGTAGGAGATGTCACCATTCTTGCACTGGTCTAGGTACGGCATGCCGTTGAAAGAGAGGCCCTGCAGGTGGCCGATGAAGTTGGAAGGCATGACTGCGATGAAGCGCCGCTCGGTCATGATGCCCGTCTCTATGTGATGGAACTCCAACTGCGTGTGTGCTCCGCTCATCTGGCCTGTGGCGGAACCAAACACGCTCGATTAGTCCGGTCTGGGAACTAATGATATGAGGGAATGGCATGCTGCCTGAGCCCATCCCAAGGCAAGTACAGCTTTTGATGTTCAATTCAGAGTTGGATGTACGGTAATGCTGAACTTGCAGTGTGCAAGATGAATCTAAACCTGTACAACTGTAGTACATATAATCTTTCAGTTGTCGACACAACGGTAAATTAATAACTAGGCATGATGTGGCAAGTTTTAAGTGTCAAGCAAGTCTATGTATACTGAACGTGAAAATCCATATGATAACATTCTGCGAGAATTGTAATAAAATTTAAGTCGTTATTCACTGAAAATCTTGGGTCATTATAGAAATAGCGATTTCTGAGCAAACTATTCTTTTCAGTCAAATTTTGTCAATGGATTGGATGATTCATTTCACAAAAGCAATCTGAAAAGATTCACTCACAAATCTATTTTAGACCAATTAGATTTCCTAGTTTCACAGTGGGCGGGGCCACCCTGTAATTGACAAAATGTCAACAAAATGGCTGAAATGGCTCTTCTTATTTGGCCACTTTAATGGATCACACTGGATTAGGATACAGTAAGCGTGTTTACATGCACTTTAAAAGTTTAATTTCAGTCTGACTGAAGAAAAAATATTTTAGATGTCACGTAACGTGCATTGCATTATTGGGCTTTTCACACTGCTCTTAACCCTGGGGTATGCTCATTCTAAACACCGCTTTTTACACGGGGTTATGAAACCCTGGGTTAACTATTGCGAACCCTATTGTGGGTTAACTAGTGTGAAAAGCCCTTACGTGTACTACCTACCAAATGTTTGGGGTTGGTAACATTTTTTAATGTTTATGAAAGAAGTCTCTTATGCTCACCAAAGCTGGATTTATTTGATAAAAAATACAGTAAAACTGTAATATTGTGATTATTATTAAAAAATATATATTTTAATATATTTAAATTTTATTTATTGATGTGATGGCAAAGTTACTCCAGTCTTCAGTGTTACACAATCTTTCAGAAATCATTCTAATATGCTAATTTGATGCTTAAGAAACATTTCTTATTATTATCAAAGTTCCAAAGAACAGCTTTTATCAGAAATATTTATTTTTATAACAATATAAAGGTCTTTACTGTGACTTCTAATCAATTGAATGTACCCTTGCAGTATTAATGTCTTTCAAAAAAAAAATTTTTTTCAGGATTCTTTGATGAATAGAAAGTTTAGAGGAACAGTTTGTATTTGATATATGAATCTTTTGTAACATTAGAAATGCCTTTACTCTCACTACTTGATTAATGTATGAAGAAAAGTGTTAATTTTCTTCAATAACAATCTTAGTTTTTTCAAGATTCTTTGATGAACAAAGTTCAAAAGAATAGTTTTTATTTGAAAAAATAATACATCTTTTGTAACATTAGAAACATTTTTACTGCCACTATTGATTAATAATAACTATTTATTTAAAAAAAATTATAATAATCTTACTGACCCCGAACTTTTGAATGGTAGAGTATACTTGAACATACAGATTAAGACTGTATCACCTACGCAAGAGCACACTGAAGCTCGATTATAACTATAATAACTGTCCGTGTGTCCTTATACAGTGCATATACAGTGAGTGTGAGGTCTTCCTCTCACCTTCCACGGTCACGTTGTCAACAGAGAGCTGCAGGCTCTTCCCACGGCGCACCACCTTCACAGAGTGCCACTCATTGTCATTCAGCTTATGCCCTGCGAACAGAGTCTCCGGTCCTTTACCTGCAGAGAGAGAGGGCCAAAGTCACACACCGCTGCAAGCTTCCAGTCTTATCAATACAGCACAGTCTACCTCACAGGCCTGGTGCTCTCACTTCACACACACATTCAAATACAGACACAAAGTCATGGTGAACTGACTGGATGCATCTACAAACTCAAACATTTCCAGAGTGAGTGAACACACACATACTGACACTCATGAGCATACCTACACTCTTAAAAATAAAGGTGCTTCACGATGCCATAGAAGAACCTTTTTGTCTAAATGGTTCCATAAAGAACCTTTAACATCTGAAGAACCTTTCTGTTTCACAAAAGGTTCTTTGTGGCGAATAAAGGTTCTTGAGATTATAAAAAGGTAATAAAGAGATGGTTCTTTAAAGAACCTTTGACTGAATGGTTCTTTGTGAAACTAAAAATGGTTCTTCTATGGCATCGCTTGAAGAACCTTTTGAAGCACCTTTATTTTTAAGAGTGTACACATTCAAACGTGCTCATTTACATTTCACACAACCAGGCGCCCACACAAAACATAGATACCAACATACTCCTTAAGGAGACCAGTGACACACACATATGCTGTTCTGCTAACTCTTTCTGTGAGCCTCTATAGGGTATATATAATGTATTCTTTAAGACATATGGACCAGTATTGACATTCTACCATCGAAAAAAAAATGTTTTAACACATAGTAACAACTCCGATATCATCATGAAGAACTCTTTTATGCTGAAATGGTTCTTTGTGTTAGAATTTATGGTTCTTCATCCCTACCTTTGTTTTTCAAATCTTTAAATGTCAAAGCCACTCATTATTGGTTTTCTGCAGCTCATCCATCCAGCTACACAGACTGTCAACACACTCTCAATAGGTGAATGATGTCATTCTTAAAATGTCTATGAATTGTAACTTTTAAATGTTACAAAAAACTTTGTTTAAAACTTGATTTCCAAAGTTTTCACTGACCAACTTAAATGTATTTTGCAAATATAAACAAATTTAGATTTTGATGGCTGTAACACACTCCAAAAACATTGGGACAGAGGCAAAATAAAAGTGAAAAGAATCAGAATGAGCTTTATTATCTATAAAGGTTATAGAATATCCAAATTAAACTATTTTGAAACAGTTCACAGTTAGCAGTTGAATTGGTAATAGGTGAGGGTATCAGGTTTGGGTAAAAAAGGAGCATCTCAGTCCTTGTGAGCAAAGCTGGATCATGGCTCATCACTTTGTGGCAAAAATCACATTTCTCAATGCAAACTCGCAAAGAATTGAAGTCTTTCCAACTACCATACATAATATTGTGAAACGATTCAGGGAATCCAGAGAAATCTCAGTCTGTGTAGGGCAAAGCAGGAAACCTCAATTAAATGTGCATGACCTTTGAGCCCTCAGATGGCATTGCATAAGAAACTGTCATGCTGCTGTGTTAAATATAGCCACATGGGCTCAGGAGTACTTTTGTAAACCGCTGGCACTTATCATAGTCTGCCACTGCATCAATAAATGCAACTTGAATCTCTGTTATGCAAGGAGAAAGCTATACATCAATTCTATGCAGTGATGCAGCAGGGTTCTCTGGGCCAGAGCTCATCTCAGATAGTTAAAAAGACAGCAGAAATGTGTGCTGTGGTCAGATGAGTCCACATTTCAACTTGTTTCTTGGAAAAATGGACGCAGAGTTCTCAGTCCCAAAGACCAAAGGGACTATCCAGATTTTCATCAGCGAAAGATGCAAAAGCAAACTTCTCTCATGGTATGGGGTGCAGTGCAGCAGAGCAAATGGCATGGGTGACTGGCATCTGTGCGACGGTACAATTGGCAAGGAGGCATATATTGGGATTGTACAGAGACATATACTGCCATCAAGATGACGCCTTTCATGGGAAGTCCATGGTTATTAGATCAAGAATGCCAGGTGTCATTCTGCATGTGCTACAACAGTGTGGTTTTGCAGACACATGTGGATGTGACTGACTGCCCAGAAGATCGGTCTCCTATTGAAAATGTATGACCAGTCATGAAAAGGAGAATCAGACAACGACGACTACGGACTGATGTGCAGCTGAAGTCTTGTATCAAGCGAGACTGAACAAAAATTCTGCATGCAAAACTTTAACAATTAGTATCCCCAATTCTCAAATGATTAAACATTGTAATTAAAAGGACAGTTGATGTGACACAGTGTTAAACATGCCTCTGTCCCAACTTTTTTGGAGTGTGTTGCAGTCATCAAAATCAAAATTTGTTTATATTTACAAAATACAATTAAGTTGGTCAGTGAAAACAGTGGAAATCTGTTTACTGTGTACTTCTGTGTACTTTTGTCAATTAAACAAAGGTTAAAGAGAATTAATCACATATTCTTGATTATAGATTGCATTTAATAAAATGTCCCAACTTTTTTGGAATGGCAGTTGTATATATAATCATTATTTGATCATTTCATTTATATTGATAAAATTGGTTTCACATCAGAACTATTATCATTTCATGTATTTTATGCCTGGAACAATGTATTGACCACTCAAATGACATACACAATTATATTTGTTTCATTTTAATGTGTATTATATGGCCATTATGAATACCCTTGGTTTATGTCTAATGAGGGATATTCTTCTAACTTCTTTCAGCAGACAACAGTCATTTAAGAAAGATGCCACATACAATATACAGTAGAATCTATTGGGAAATATCTGCAACTAGAAGCTAATTCATCTGACAACTAAACTCAAAAGCAATGTTATGCATGTTTGGTTTAATCTAAATAGCTCATCTAAACAGTCATTTCCTATCCTTTTAACTAACCTCTGTTTTCTTCGTTGATTCGTATGGATTTTCCCAACAGCTGACCCTAGACCATCATCACATCACCGCCTACAGTATGTGTGATTACTAAAAGCTATTTTTCATCTGCAGCTGCCAGTTCAGTTCTGCTATTATCTAAACTTCCATATAAAACACTATTGTATTCTCCTTTACATGTCACTTACAAATACAAACCACATTGATTCTGTGTTTTAAAAACATTGCTTCAATAGTAAAAAGGAAAAAAAAAATACAATTGAAGCAGTTCTCCTCATTATAACAGAGTGACTGGTGATGTCTGAGCATTTGTGTGTAACATGAGACAAACGCATTATACTTAAACTGAATTGAAATGAAATTGAATTGGCCCTGGGCATGTGTATAATCATCTTACAGACTCAGGAGTTGTATGGCCGAGAAACAAAACTGTACTGTGCCTCGGTACACAGGTTTAAAGTGACAGTACACACACACACATACACACCACAGACCTCAAGAGTCCCACAATCAGCAGCAGTGAATGTTTGCCGATAATATGCTAAAGTAACGGTTTTGATAAGCGCCTGCTGCCAGCCCGCTGCAGACCCGGTTGGCGCGTGCTCAGAGGCGCCTGGGGTGCGCATAGAAAAATGGGTCAGGCCGATGCAGCTGCCTAAGCCTTCATCATGCGGAGCGGCTAGTGCCTGACATGGTGGTTCAAAGCCCCTCAGACTGCACTGCTGGCTACTCTAATTGGCTCTGCTGGAGTCAACAGACCCTCCGAGGAACAACGTCAGCCTATTTGTAGGGGTGTTGTAGCACTCGAAATCTAATAAACCTTCCACGGATGATTTCGTATATAAGCAAAACAGCTGGTATTAATCTGGTAGGCAATCTGTTTGCAGTTCAAAATCGCACTATAGTTTAAATACCTAGGAGTAAAACTGGTAACGACCAGGTATGTGACATTCTTTGCATTGGAGTTGAGTCGATGTCATATCATGCCTCTAATTAGCTCTTCCAGCTCTGAAAAAACTCCCAGAATAAGCGAGCAGGAGGCAGAGAGAGGGAAGTTGTCGTTCTACACCTTCTGGCAGCTTGTTAATTAAATTTAAATCGTTGCCCATCCCTGCTTTTAAATCTAAGAGCACACGTGTCGCTTCAGCTCGGCCTAGTATTACTCAGCATTTCGGATGAAACTGCGACAGCATAAACGATTCAAGTACAAATCAAACCTGTGTGTGTAAGCAAACATGAGTTAGAACAGCGCTAGATATCAAGAAACATCCGTTATACATTTACATTTAGTCATTTAGCAGACGCTTTTATCCAAAGCGACTTACAAATGAGGACAATAAAAGCAGTCAAAACTAACAAAAGAACAACAATATATAAGTGCAAAATGTTATAATGCAGATCTTCACAACAAACTTTGATGAACAGCTTTAGGCACTGGAAAATGTCAATTAATCATTAAAACCTAATGTTAACTTAACATTAATGTGTAATTTTTAAATGATAACGTCATCTGGATCTGCTTCGTATTCATGACTACTCTGTGCTAAACTGTTTAAAATGCACATCATGGTGAGAAGACTTTCAACAGATGGCAGAGGGCCCTAATTGGGTATAATTTACTTTAACTACCAGCATTTCTGTCTATTTAAAAGTCAATTAACATTTTACTGTCATTAAAACTTCCATCAGTCTAAATATGTTTGACATACCCATCGAGTTAATATTGAGAGCGTAGAGGGGACTGTGAAACACTTCCACAGGTTAACATATAAAATGATCATGCTCATCTGATTATGAATGTACTTATCCACATATGACCAAGCAGAGATTCATCACCCCATGAGCATTATGTGTGATAAATCGTTTCATAGATCCTAAATAGTGGGCATGCCATAAAACTCCATATGTGTCATCAAATGCATTTACCATAGTTTGTAATGTATTTGATGACAAGGATGTTACACTCCCTAAACAGGGATGATTCGTAGATTCGGTTCTTTAAAAGGCATTTGAGCATTTTCAGAGCCTGAGACTCAGGTAAAACGAAATCTGATGCTGTAAAATATGGTGTTTATTGCCACCTGGTGGTGGAATTCATGCGATTCTGTTCTTTTTTTTTTTTAAAAAAGGAAAGTTTCAGTCCTGCAGTGCTTTATCCGAGCTAAAACACAGCAACAGCCAAGTCTTAGAATACATATTACATAATTTAAACTTAATTATTAAAAAAGAATATTAGAATTAGAAACAAAAATATTAGATTTAAAAAAGGTTATGGCAAGCAGAAAAAATATTATAAAAGCATGCAATAGTTTTGTTAAAACGTGATAAAACCATTAAATTGTTCTAATCATTTTACCATTGTTTTGGGGTTTTAGGTGTTATGTTGTCATGGCAACAAACTTGTAAAACTATATCTATCTTTACATGGGGCCTATTTACATTTGACACTTAATGCATTTTCTCAAAAAAAATATATATAAATCCGATCTTCAGTTCCAGCGTTATGTGCAAATTTATCAAAGTTCACATTAGATATGTGCTGCATTTTATTTATCTATTTATCCATGTTATCTATTTATCTAATTTATTTATTTATGCTTGATAGAAGCATTGATCGAGCATCATTAGCACTGGTGTAATAATTTAGTGTTCACCACTTTAAATGTAGATGACTGTTTGTTGAACATGAGAAGATGCCGTGGATTGAAGATGCGATGCCGAACGGTGAGTTTGCACATGCTTGGTTACCGGGAGCCTTTAACAGCTTTATTTTGAGCCCTTTTCCATCTCGGATGTGTTCCGAAGGGCATTTACACCTGGTCTTTTCACGTTCAGATAGCTATCCGAGTGTAAATAAGCCCACAACAAAGGTTAGTGAGCAATTTTTTTCACACTAATATCATGTTAAAACATTGATTACATCTTGTGGCTATACTGTGAAAAAAAAAAAAAGCATTGGAAAGCATTCACCAAATTAACATTATGCCACAAGTGCAGTGAAACGAGCTTAACTTGGGGAAATCTGTGAAATTCTGTGTAACTGGTAGCTTAACACATAATATAAGTAAGCCAAATATTTCATAGACAAAAACAAAGGAGCTCAGGATGTGTAGAACTTTAAAAACATCTGTGTGGGCCTACTTACTTCTTAAAAGCTCTGCGTAATGCCTCTACAGTTTATTTAAACCAGCACATGATGCGTCATAGTCTTATACATCTGTGTTCGTCATTGGAATTATTTTAACATTTAAAATGAAAAACATTCTACAAATCCAAATGTGTTGAGTCATTATAACAGATGAATAAATCTGTGATGACGCATTTGAATGGTGAACATGTCAGAATTTCCAATGCACAAAAGATGCCTTTTTGGGAACCGTGCCCTGAAGCACAACACCTACTACCTCATGACTAATGAAGTACTAGAGAGACAAATCTCACAATGAGAGATGTAAATACTGTACGTGGCATACATTTTAGTAGTGTAGAATATCTTAAGCAAATGGAAAAAGCTTTAATCCTCAAACAAAGGAAAGGGGATGAATTCACGTACTGTAGCCTCATAATTTTTTGTCCCTCATGAAACAGACACAATGCACATCCACAAACATTTTGCTGTTATTGAAATGAGAACATACTACTGCTTACTGTATAAAGCCAAGTAAAGAATTAATGTACCAATATTAGCTGACATCATACTACTACACACTAATAAATCCTACATTATGTTTCTGAAATATCTGGCTATTTAGCATTTAGCTACCAATTGCACCATATTCCAGAACATTTCATTTATTTTTGCATCTATTTTTGTCCCTCCTACATACCACAGCAATTTACCAAATACACTACCATTTTAAAGAAATTAATTATTTTTATTCAGCAAGGATGCATTAATCAAAAGGTGACAGTAAAGATTTTAATACAATTCAATTGAAAGGCATATCACTTTTGAACGTTCTACTTATCAACGAAGAAAACAAAGAAACAAAGAAATCAGTGTCCATGAAAGAATATTAGGCAGCACTGGTTTCAATACTGACAATAAAAAGAAATGTTTCAGCATGTTAGAATGATTTCTGAAGGATCATGTGACACTGAAGACTTAAGAAATGACTGCAGAAAATTCAGCATTTTAAAATATATTAAAATAGTAATCCCAAGTTTACAGCATAATTATACATTTAAGTACTGAGTAATATTAATTAATAACAAGTACTTACAATAGGGTTACGTTACTGCACGTAATTATGCATAATTTTTGTTATTACTCTAGGAAGTACATGTAATGTGTAACAATGACACTGTAAAACAAAGTGTTACCAAATGAGTTCATTTAATTGTAATAATATTTCAAAGTATTACTTTCTACTGTATTCTTGATCAAATAAATGCAACCTTGGTGAGCAAAAGAGACATTTCAAACACTTGAATGGTAGCGTATTAATAGATTTTTTTCCCTTGGGAAACTGTAAACTAATCTGCACGTAGGATCAATAAACCCAAATGAATAAATAAAAATAAAAGATAGCCAGACAGACAGATACACTGCAAAAATGGTTTTGTTGTAAATAAAACAGAATATTGGAGTATGTTTTACAAAAAAATACTATTTCAGTCTTTCTACTTTCTACATTTCACATTTAATTCAATGTGTTACGTGCTGTTTCATTGTAATTAATTGTGAAAATAGTTTGTTTCTTTTTTTTTTTTTGGTGTAGACAGAATAATTACAATAAACAATACTACTGACCAGCCTATATATAATTTAATATTTTTTACAAATTGTTTTTCCAAATGAGGACATCCTAAATTTCCCCAAAAGTTTGTTCACAAACTATAGCTAAATACACACACACACACACACACACACACACACACACACACACACTCTGGTTTACATTTGTGAAAAGTGGGGACATCCCATAGGCGTAATGGTTTTTATACTGTACAGACCGTATATTCTATTGCCCTTTACCAACCCTACCCCTAAACCTACCCCTCACAGGAGACTTTGTGCTATTTCAGATTTTCAATACACTCCATTCTGTGTGATTTATAAGCGTTTTGAAAAGTGGGGACATGGGGTAATGTCCTGAAAAGTCACCTTCTCCTTGTAATACCTATGTTATACCTTTGTCATTATACACATTTATGTCCTCATTTGTCACAAAAACGCGTACATACACACACACACACACACACACACACACACACACACACACATACATACACAAAATACAACCTGAGGTCCTTTCGTCTCATATATCCGATTCATACTACTTACCTTCAGCATCACTGCACTGCTAATACTGAGGATTGCATCGTTTCCCAACACATATGCATGGATGTAGCACCGCTCAAATACAGGCAAAGTTCAACCTCATGCCTGATTTGGCAAATGAAGATTTCTTCTTTTATTATATGGTTTATTATCGTATTTTCCTTATGTAACAGAGTCCCACAGGAACATTAAACAGACTAGAGCATTGGAGGAGCAGTGAGAAACATATGGTGTTGAAATGGAAACTGTTGGGATGGTTATGCTTAATTTAAAACCAAATCTGCATATTTTGCGGAACAAAAGAGATTGAGATTAAGGGAACGCGGGAGAGAGGGGGTTGTTGGGGAGGGAGAGTGAGAGGAAAAAGAGAGAGGGATGTAAACTGGGAACATGTTCAAAAGAAAAGCTGTGTTAACGGTGCAGGAAGACAGGATTACGAGGGAGGAGAAGAAACTTTTGATGAATTGGGGCTGAGCATGAGAGAGAGAATAGATAAAAATAGCATTGCAGATAAAAGAATCACTTACTAAGGTTACAGTCTATCCCGATACAATCTGGTGGGAAAGAGAGTGAGATGGTGAGATTTAAAGGAAAAGAAACTAAAATTCAAAACCACATCCTTCAAGGTTCAATCTGCAGACAAACAAACAATTATTGCATAGAGTCAACCATCCGGGGACAAGGTGAGAGTCAGAATGGCCCCCTCTACAAGGGCCCACACCCCACAATCACAGGACGAGAGACAGCACATAAACTAACCAATAAGTGAAATGCCAAGACCAGATATGTGGCATTTGGCAATTTATAAATATACAGACAAAACATTGGATTTAGCCTGTGCTTTGCCTCCTCCCTGTATGTGGGTGGTGCCAGTATGACTGTAGGCAAGGGCAGTCTGCACCATCAGCCAAGAGCTCATGCTTATAAAACAGGTCACCTATAGACTGGGCGGTAGAGCTAAGCAAATATACACTGCGATATTTCTCAGCCTTTTGAAAATGTTTGAGAGATATATAGAGAGAGAGATGTATCTTGATGTGCTTCTTTTGAAATGGCTTAAAACTGTTTTTTAAAATCAGAGGGACAAAAAAGCTGAATATTGTATATGGTAAAAGCTTTTCGATTTCATGAAGTACAAGCTGTTCAAAAGTTTGGGTTTGGTAAGATTGTTTAATGTTTTTGAAAGAAGTCTCTTATGCTCACCAAGGCTGCATTTATTTTTTTTATTTTTAAAACTTGATCAGTTTAATGCACCCTTGATGAATAAAAAAAAATATATATATATTTTTTAAATAACAAAAAAAAAAAAAAAAAAAAATCACACAAAGTAGATGTATTTCAAAACCTAGTCCGCTGCCTAGACTGGTTGTCAGGGCTTTGCTATATAGTTGCCAATGTGC